TAAGAAGGAATTGAAAGATGAGTCAAGGTAAACGACACTTAGCATATGTATCATGAAGTGTACACAACCAGGGGTTAGGGGTTAAGGGTTAGGTACTCTTGATATCATGCACTGCTGTTTTTACATTCAATGATTCATTGGTATCGTGTAGCAACAGTATGCCAGGGATATATAGTACGAGACACTCTTCTGTACTTCAAAGTAATTGTTTCTACATCTGCAGTATACTGTACAGCCTAGAGAGCATCCACACTTCTCTGTGAAGGGGCATTGTATACAGTTTTCGTGTTCACTGGCACTAGTGAGTTCTGAAGCCTCAAAACACTAATAGCCGCCTCAGAAACGGCCAACGTGGCAGGAAGTTCGTTGATCAATTCATTATAGCGTAACTTGTAGTTCCTTGGTCTTTTTTCTTTTCTATAAAGCTATGCTTGGCTCTCCATCCGAGTCAATTCTTTGTAGATATTTTTCATAGCTTACGTACACACGAGTCACAGAAAACCACCCGTTTTGATTGTCGTAACTTAAGTTTCATGCCATATAGCAATCTTCAGACAAGTGATCTATCGAGCTGGAGGACTCAGCTCTCTGTAGATTACGTACATGTACATATACTTCAAGTACTAAGTATATGTAGGAGGGCAAAGTAAAATGCAGCACCTAATGATTTCAATGATCTGCGCGTACGGTTCATTACGCTTGCCAGCTAGGAACGATGCAATTCTCTTGTACAAGCTTGCCGAACGCTGAAAACCACCTGACCATGTCACAAGGAGTAAAAGTAAAGTTCGCACCTCCGCGTTACAACCGGCTATACGTTGAGAACCACAACCAGCTCAGGAAGTTTCGCATGTGCCAGGCCACCACCGGTTGCACCATGCCTGTGATACCAAGGTGGCAGATGCAGCGCCTAACGGCGAGGGTGAGGTGGTAAGTCTCACAACCAATGCCCGACGAGGGGGCTAACCTACCTCGTTAGCTGCATCCTTGTTACCCTCACTCCGAGTAGTGAGTACCCAGTTGACCGTGGGTAGGTGTTGGCGGATAATGCCGGCATTATATCGAGCATTATACACCACCCGGAGCATTACGAGCATTATAAAGCATTATTACGAGGCCAAAAATGGCATTATACGATGTTCTACATGACTGCATAGTAGATCTACACACATCCTCACGTACAGATTCGTATCGGCTATAGCGTTGGTCTTTGATTGGCAACATTTATTACTATACGCGATGTATTACCATGATTACTACAAAAGTAGTACAAGCGATAGACTACCGCACACATCATGCATGGTACCAAACAGATCGTGGCACGCAGTGCCAGGCCCAGTATACTGCATGCAGTATTGCTAGCTTAGTAGCTAGCTGTGGTGCAGCACAGTGAGGCAACTCTCGCAGAAACTTCCGGTCCCGGAAGTCTATCTTCGGCCAGCAACTAATTACTTACTTTTTGAAGATCCAGGTAACAACGCCGAACCAACGAAACAAATGTGAGGCAGCATGGAACGGTACGCGGTGGAGGTGCGCACACGCACACATTCCAGACCTTACCCGGTTACCGTCCACAATGTTACAAAAAACATTTTTCATCGAAGCAAGAGTCCATGTCTTTGTCGAAGAGTAACGCTGGACTTTCACCGGACATTGACCATTGTGTAAGACCAGCTAACTAGCAGCCAACGCTGATGGCTGACTCGCCGCGATGCCGTTCTTTGGATTGGGAGGAAGCTGGGCTTTCTCCAGATGAGCTTTTGGCGGAGTCCTCTGATGATAGTGACGTCGTCGAGTTGGAAACTGCAGATCCTGCCGCGATAGCGAGGAAGCGGTCTTTTCAGAAAACAGCTACTACCAAGTCTGAAAATGTTTCCAAAAGGACGCGAGTAGCTCATGGACAAAGCACTGAAGTGGCCATCAGTGCCGAAACACGGGTGCGGAGCCGCTCAAAAGCGACTGTGGCAAGTTAGTGTGCCTGGCATGCCATACAACATTGTCAGAGAAGAAGAGTATAATCATATCCCATATTGCTACCGCGAGACACAAACAAGGAAAGTCCCGTTTGGAGAGGGAAACTCAGAGGCAGAAGCTGGTCAAGGAGTCCTTCTTGGCGTATCAGAAACGACTTGGGAAGGCTCTAGCCGGCACCGGTCTTACTGAGGCCGTTAGTTCAGCCGAGTCTGCGGCGGATCCAGATTGTGCGTTCTATGTTGCATAGCACGGGTGCAATATTATAGCGTGTTTCTTAGCCCGATACCGCAAGGTTCAGGTCCGGCGGAGCATTATCAGCATTATTTGGAGCATTATATGGCCTTTTGTGGAGCATTACTGAGAGCATTATATCCCATATTACGGAGCATTATCCGCCAACACCTAACCGTGGGTATCGGCGCAGTTCACTGCATGTAAAGTGGTTCACGCATGCATCACCACATTTGCTAGCACAGTACACGCTCCCTGCTCCCAGCGTAGGTCTCGAACTCGGGACCTTGTGATTCGCAGGCAAGCCCACAACCACTCGGCCAAAGCGCTGGTACCTAAGCAAACGACGCATGTTCCACAGTCCCAACCAGAGTTTCGTAATTCATTCCTTTTTCTTGCTTATATCGGTGTTAGGCAGTGGCTAGTTTTGCGGTGCGGACTTTGAGGATCGACACAGCATGTACATAAATGAATGTCAGCCCTTTGTCAAAGATGTCAGAATTGTTCGCAACTTATGCTTTTTGCAACCGTGCCAAAAAAGAGCAATTTGCTGAAATCGCATCTATATTTTCAGAAAAAGCTCAAACGTTGCTAAACAGCGCAACTAAAAATGAGAGAGTTCTTGTACATACCCTCCTTACAGTGATGCCATTACAATGAAACAACCAACAAGACCAACAAAACCAACAAGACCAACAAAACCAACAAGACCAACAAAACCAACAAGACCACCAAGACCAACAAGACCAACAAGACCACCAAGACCACCAAGACCAACAAGACCAACAAAACCAACAAGACCAACAAAACCAACAAGACCAACAAGACCAACAAGACCAACAAGACCAACAAGACCAACAGGACCAACAGGACCAACAGGACCAACAAGACCAACAAGACCAACAAGACCAACAAGACTAACAAGACCAACAAGACCAACAAGACCAACAAGACCAACAAAACCAACAAGACCAACAAGACCAACAAGACCGACAAGACCAACAAGACCAACCGAAGACCAACAAAAACAACAACAAGAAGCGGAGATAGCAGAAGTGCAGTCACAGCAAACTCTATACCCCTTCGGACCTTCCTGCTGTGAACTGCAACCAGCCTTACACAGTGCTAGTAGCCTGTTGCACGCAACCTAACCTCCATCATTTCAGTGCACGCACAAATGAATACGACATGTAATCTGTGACTTATTCTTTGGGCTCTCATGCCATTGTGCCGAAGTTGCGAAGTAGTGAGCGCAAATGAAGACATTTGCAAAGTTGCGATTTCTTCCGAAACAACGAAAAGTTGGGAAAAAAGTGGCGAGCATCTTTGGGAAAGTCCACCCACACCATAAACCTACCTTTGAAGTTCTTTAACAATCCGTGCCAGCTCTCACGATTGAACAATCTCAACTTCATGACTGCACACCATGGTGCCATGGCATTGGTGATAGACTGCACACCATACACAAGCGAAGTGTTTGCGCACTTGCGTGAACTGCACTCTGCAAACCGTATTTTTCGGAGTTGAGTGCGCACCTTTGTATAACGCGCACCCCCAATCTTCATTGGGGGTGCGCACTTTAATCTTCATTGAAGTACATGCATTTCATATTCGGAGCATAGTGCGCACCTGCGATTTAGGGCCTAAAATAGCACTTCAAAAGTGCGCACTATACTCCGGAAAATACGGTACATGTACATGACTGTAGATGTACAGAATCAGACCTGAGTGATGATGTACAGGACTGACTCTGTACATCATGTATCGACAGGTCCGTAAAACTAAAATGCCCATCTACACTCTACGTAGTAGTTTTGACTTTTGTGCACTAACTCTTGCTAGTAATATGAGTTTCGCAAGTAACAGTTAGTTGGCATGAATAAACTCTGACATCATGCACACTGACGTCAAGTAGATGAATAACGTGCTACATCTCGCAGTCGACGTACACACATAATCAGTTATTCAGCAGGCACCTAGGCTGGGGCAACGGTTACCATGGTTACGTGCACTGCTAGTGCATCATGTAGAGCATGTAGACCATGGTAGACCATGGTAGACGAGAGAGAGAGAGAGAGAGAGAGAGAGAGAGAGAGAGAGAGAGAGAGAGAGAGAGAGAGAGAGAGAGAGAGAGAGAGAGAGAGAGAGAGAGAGAGAGAGAGAGAGAGAGAGAGAGAGAGAGAGAGAGAGAGAATGATAGAGATGAAACCCGATCGAGTGAGTCAGCTTCGCGGCCTGCAGCCGTGCACCATGCATGGTGCACTGGCGTGCAGGAGTGAAAATCACAGGCAGACGGTGCTCGCAAATAAGTCTGGGGCTGCATGCACCGAGCAAAGGGCATATTTTTCGCAAGTGTCGCGACGTCATTTAGCAGCTCATCGACCAGTGAGTCGCAAAATACCGGTATTTTAGGACTCCCTGACATCTGCCGTACGGTCGGTCTGTCCCCTACTCCCTCGCGCTATAGCATATAATATATATATAGCGCTATCCTCACATGCGCAAAAATGCATGTAGACCTACTGATGTAGACCTGGTACTGTGGTAGTGCCAGTGGTACTAGACCAGACCGGTATCAAAGAAAACTGCTTGACTACAACCTGTCTTGCTGACAAAAGACTGAGTCTGTCAACCAACGACAGGGCTTACGTCATCGACCTCGTACCATAGTCAGGTTTATGACGGGAGTGCGGCCCGCGGCGCCAAGGCCATATCGCTGACTCGGTGAGGTCGGAAGACCACGGAGAGGCGCACGCACCGCGTAGATCTACCGTCCTTGGCTTGGATCTACGGACAGGCAGTTCATGCAGCGCTTTGCGGACAAGCCAATACTGATAACGGTCAGTGAGTTTGAGAACGGCACAGATCATGCAGCTGTCGGTTGAGCCACACTGAGGACAGACAGTGAAGATGACTAGATAGTGGACTAGTATAAATATCTACTGGCTGGAGACCAGCCTGTCGTCTTTTCTAGATCAGCTTGCTGTGTCAGTGAAAGAAATTTCCTTCGCGTAAAATTGTATTTTACGACTGAGTTCTTCTTTAGACTTGAGGTAGAATTCTTGCAGTTTGCGAAGTATTGTAGATGGTAGCGGTGCTTGCTGAGTGAGAGACCACGCTACATATGGTGCCATTGCTGGTGAGTACTTTGCCGCTGTGCATGGTGCTTGAGTGGTGTGTGTATGTATGTAGAATGTGTGTGTATGCGTGTGGTGTGTGAACGTGTGGTGTGTGAACGTGTGGTGTGTGAACGTGTGGTGTGTGTACGTGTGGTGTGTGTACGTGTGATGTGTGTACGTGTGATGTGTGTACGTGTGGTGTGTGTACGTGTGGTGTGTGAACGTGTGGTGTGTGTACGTGTGGTGTGTGAACGTGTGGTGTGTGTACGTGTGGTGTGTGAACGTGTGGTGTGTGTACGTGTGGTGTGTGTACGTGTGGTGTGTGAACGTGTGGTGTGTGAACGTGTGGTGTGTGTACGTGTGGTGTGTGAACGTGTGGTGTGTGAACGTGTGGTGTGTGAACGTGTGGTGTGTGAACGTGTGGTGTGTGTACGTGTGGTGTGTGAACGTGTGGTGTGTGAACGTGTGGTGTGTGTACGTGTGGTGTGTGAACGTGTGGTGTGTGTACGTGTGGTGTGTGAACGTGTGGTGTGTGAACGTGTGGTGTGTGAACGTGTGGTGTGTGTACGTGTGGTGTGTGTACGTGTGGTGTGTGTACGTGTGGTGTGTGTACGTGTGTGTTGGGGGGGGGGGGGGGGGGGGATCGGTGTATTTGTCCATGGTTGTGATTGGAGGGAAAGAGCATGGCGGGTATGTACAATGTCTGTTTATCACTCGTGGCAGGAATACATCACGTGGGAGTACAATTATTACAGAGCTGCTCAATGAAATCCAGTCGTGTCAATCAAGTACGTGCCAGGCGTTGCACAGCCCCAGACCTGCGAACGCTAGGCTGAGAAAGGAATTATGATGCAAAGTGACATGTTGCAAAGCACAAACTTGACTTACTCGACCGGATTTTATTGAGCAACACTGCATGTCAAGAAGCGCAGTCAAGCAACGAATAAAAATTGTATTTGTCTTTATCATCTTGACAAATCATTGTGTATCATATTATCACATCCCTGAAAGAATATCACCAGTGAAAGTGACAAAAATATACACCTGCATGTACAGGGCACTCTAGTTTTTGCGTGTGTGCGTGCGTACGTGTGTGTGTGTGTGTGTGTGTGTGTGTGTGTGTGTGTGTGTGTGTGTGTGTGCATGGATTCGTGTGTCTGTATGTGGGTTGTGGGGGGGGGGGGGGGGGATGGGGTCGAAAATGAATGATAATTGTTTTACTGAACCTCTGACTAATATCAATAGTTACAACCCCTAACATTGTGCCACACCTGCATACCATGCGG